TAAATAGAACTTCATGGGGCACCTGGGTGGCTCAGTTAATTAAGCGCCTGACTTGGTTTCAGCTCAGGTCATGATCTCATGGTGAATTCTAGCCCCAGGTCAGGCTCAGTTCTGCCCTGAGTGTACAGAGTCTGCTTGGGATTCTCTCTCTCTCCTTCTCTCTCTGTCCCTCCCCTGCTTGTGGGCTCTATGTCTCTTTCTCTCTCTCTCTCAAAATTAAAAAAAAAAAAAAGCTTAAAAACAAAAGGACTAAATGGAATTTCAAAGCCTAGTGTTTAGAGCACCTGGATTTAAGTTTTAGTTTTGGGATTCGAGTCACGTTAATTAACATCTCTGACTCTTGTTTTACTCATGCATACTGGCAACAGTACTTTTCCCATAAGGTTTTTTTGACCATTAAAAGAGGTAGTGTATGTAAAGAGTTAAAAACAGAGCCTAGAGCATAAATAAGCATTCAATAAATATTAGAATTTTTTTTTTTAGTATTAAAGAACTAAAATAATTTTAAATGTCTGCTCATTATACTTTGCATTGTCTCAGTTTTGGCAAGAATATTTTTTCAGCAAGAATTATTTTTCCATTTCCTTTACATTTTTCATTAAAATAGAAATAACTATTCTAACTAGTCCATGGCTCCTACCAAGGACACATCAAGGGGGCATAACTATGCTTCAGCCTGCAGCTCAGACACTTTATTTTTTTTTTCAACGTTTTTATTTATTTTTGGGACAGAGACAGAGCATGAACGGGGGAGGGGCAGAGAGAGAGGGAGACACAGAATCGGAAACAGGCTCCAGGCTCTGAGCCATCAGCCCAGAGCCCGACGCGGGGCTCGAACTCACGGACCGCGAGATCGTGACCTGGCTGAAGTCGGACGCTTAACCGACTGCGCCACCCAGGCGCCCCTCAGACACTTTAATAAAGAGTATATTATGATCATTTCTGTCCTTCAGAGAATAGCTCTTCTACCTGGCTGCCTGGGTGGAAAAGAGCATTGAATTATAGTTCCATAGTGGATAGAAAAGACTCTTGTTGCCTACCTTCTCCTCCAGCTCCATCCCCAAATATGCTTCATAAGCCACAGAAGCTCCAGTCCTTTTGTTGTGTGGAAAGTTTAGGTTTGATCCTGTCCATGGTGTGTAACTAATATTGATAGAGTTAAGCTGTGTCCAGCTGGGGATACAAACTGAAATATTGACCCATCTGTAAAGCATGTCTTTGTTCAACCCTGGGCACACATTCCTCCCCTATTGCTGATCTTGTTTCTCATGTGTTCTTTGATAAGGAAAGAAGTTGCTCCTTTTGGTCCTCTGATTACAATGGCATGCCTAGCACTTAGTAGGCATTTGGCAAATATGAAGTCATTAATCATAAATTAATTAAACATGAAAAGCTTTTCCTGAATTCTTTAGATCTTAAGGAATCAAGAATCTAGTTTGTAATCCTCATCTTGAATTCTGGAAGGACTGTGCTGGCCTTTGGGATTGAGCACCTCAGATGGTCAGTGTGGTGTTGCTTTTGGGGTTCTAGTCCCTCAGAATCACTTGTCCTTATTCTTCTCTTCTCTTACTGATTTTAACTACCCATGACTCCTACTAGTACATAATTCTTTCATATCTGATTTATCTAGGATCTACTTCCAATAAATTCGTTACAGTAAGCATTCATAATTAGGTGCAGAATCACTGAGCACAGATCCATAGGGTTCCCCATCGTGAGCACTGCAACAGCAATCACCTGCAAGCCACTGATTTTCAGTGTTGGGCTAAATTGGCTGAGGGATGGAGAGGTTTAGGTAATATAGAATTTGATAAAAAAAAAAATGAATGATATATGGGTAGGTAGATACATTTATCAGCACATAAATAGATTTCATGACTTATAAATACTTTGAGAGATAATTTTCACAGTTAACTAAACATTAAAAAATTTATAGATAATAGATAAATATTGATTAGAGCTGCAATTTAATGAGTGTTTTTCTTTGCCTGTTCTCATCCAAATGCCCTATCAATATTACCAGTGAATACTTTTAACTATCCCATGGTAGGTACGATTATTTTCATTTTCATTTTAAAGAGGTAACGGGGTGCCTGGGTGGTGCAGTCGGTTAAGCGTCCGACTTCAGCCAGGTCACGATCTCGCGCTCCGTGAGTTCGAGCCCCGCGTCAGGCTCTGGGCTGATGGCTCAGAGCCTGGAGCTTGTTTCCGATTCTGTGTCTCCCTCTCTCTCTGCCCCTCCCCCGTTCATGCTCTGTCTCTCTCTGTCCCAAAAATAAATAAATGTTGAAAAAAAATTAAAAAAAAAATAAAGAGGTAAGGAATGAAGCACAGAGATTAAGTAACTCTGTGTCCAAGCACAGAGATTCAAACCCAGGTTATCTATCTCCAGGGTTTTTTAGTTTTAAAACTATTTTCTTAGCTAAATTTCCAGAAAAGAAACAAAGAGAAAAATATATAATGAGACACAAGTTATGCAGCATATAGGTAAAAGACCCACAAAACCAAGTGGATCTAAGAGTTCTCAAGATGTCAGCCAGAATGTTGGGATTCTTTAAATCTGTATTCTTCTGGACCAATTTTCCAAATTCCAATAGAAATTTCTACAATGATGGAAATTTTCTGTGTCCGTATGACACAGTTCAATGGCCACTAACCTTATGTAGTTATTGAACACTTGAAACATGGCTAGTATAACTAAGGTACTGATACTTAATTTAGTTTAATGAATTTAAATGTAAATAGGCACAGATGTGGCTACAATATTAGACGGTGTAGAACTAAACTATTGACTTACAGGAAACTTGGAGTAACTCTATTCTATCTCTATTCATGCCCAAGCATCCAGAGCTCTTTGCCCCTTGCGCTTTGTCTAGTAACTTTTCTCCTTTTTGTGACCCCAGGTTCCTATTCCATTTTTTCTAATGTGGGTCTTGAGATGGGCTTCAATAATGTATGAATTCACTTAATTTTTATACACAACTTTGTGCACGCGTGCACGTGTGTGTGTGTGTGTGTGTGTGTGTGTGTGTGTGTGTGAACATTCTTATTTGGGAGACTATGAGATTCTCATAGGGTTATAACTCAAAAAACATTAAGAGCCACGATAGTACTACTCTTTCTTTTAATTCTAAACTCTTATTAGTTGTGGCTACACTGGCCCAAAAAGTGATTAGTTCAGCTGCACATTTGGATATATTTTCCTGAAGATAATAGCAAATAATTGAAATAGAAGAGAGCTGTGTGGCACCAAAATTTTCATATTGATCTTTGTCAATGCAAGTGCTAGGCATTAATGTCTAGAATAGCCCATAGATCCATGTAGGCTTTACTCAGAGTGGGAAATATAGTTACTGGTAACTCAAGGTGGAGTTTATAGAACAGCACATAGAAATATGGGCAGAGAAGGAGAAGTCTTTATGGAGGCCCAGGGAAACTTAAGTCCAGTTGAATTTTTAACACCGGGAACAGTGACTTCACCAATCTGACCAATGTTTGAACTTTGTCTTTTGGGACTTCTCCATGTGTGGAATTAATTTCATTTCATTCATTTCATTTCTAGAGATTTTTTTAAATGTTCATTGATTTTTGAGAGAAAGAGAGAGAGAGAGAGAGAGAGAGAGAGAGAGAGAGAGAG